AGAGCCAGGAGTAGTCCTTAAGCATCACCAGCTGTAAGACAAAAAAAAAAAAAGAATAAAATGGTATTACAAGGTTACTAAAGAAATACTGAGAGTAAACCCCAAGTACTGGGTATGACCCTAAAGTAACATTTGAATTTCAGTTGGTAAAGGATTTACAGAAGATCAAGCGATGTACAGTAGAGGAAATCTAAAAGACTAACATAGATGATAAAGAGCTCAAGAGATAAATGCACTGCACTGTAGTACTGTCCTCCCATTGTTCATCAATTTGCTCGAGCGGGTCCAGTAACTTCTCCATTGTGACACTTGTTGTTACTGTGTTTGGCATATCGAATATGTCACGGGTAGCTTGCCAGGCTTTGTTGTGCGGACGAGATACTCTCGGTAGCTTGCCGGGCTCTTCTAAGAGGGGCGGAGGAATCGAACCCGGCTTGGTCAGGCTAGCTGCACGCAAGGCAAATGCCCTACCGCTGTGCTATCGCTCTAGCCCCAAGAGATAAATAGGTAGAGAAAAACCAATTAAAGCAACAAGAAATTGCTCTTATTTAACTGACAAACATTTAGGGTAATGCTAAGTCATTTAGGGCTTGTTCAGAGAAAACAAGATCTTATAGTGGGTGATGTAACTGAATTAATTATAACAGTTGTGTCATAATTCACACTTGTCACAGTTTACCTATTTATAGCATACCATTTAGTGTTTTGTTTGCTTTTGGGCCACACCTGGTGATGCTCAAGGTTTACTCCTTGCTCTGCACTCAGGAATTACTCCTGGAAGTACTCAGGGAACCATATGGGATGCCGGGGATCGAACCTGGATTGGTCACGTGCAAGGCAAATACCCTAGCTGCTGTACTATCATTTCAGCTCCCTATCATTTAATGTTTTGCAAATTCACAGAGTTAAACAACCATCGCCGCTATTTTATTATGTATGTGTTTATACTCCAGATGGTAGTATAAAAGGAGGCCCCCATAACCATGCCACCAGACTCTGCACCAGGCTGTTTCCACTCGGGGTGCCCCAGAGGGGGGTGAGCGAAAATGCTTCCCATCCCAAGGGACCCAGCCCTGGTAGCCAACCTCTACTACCCAACAGCCGCCACGCTCCAGGCCACTTTCCGGATCATGGGACACTTCCTACCCATTGTCCATAATTACCACAAGGTGTTTGATGGAGTTCAGACAGTAGGCAACAGATGATAGAGAGAAATATATATATGTGTATATATATATATATATATTTATATGCCTCTCGGAGTGCCCGGCAAGCTACTGAGAGTATCTCGCCCTCATGAGCAGAGCCTGGCAAGCTACCCGTGTCGTATTTGATATGCCAAAACCAGTAGCTATAACAGGTCTCAATTCCCTGACACTGACAGAGCCTCCAACCATTGGGAAAGACGAGTAAGGAGAGGCTGCTAAAATCTCAGGGCTGGGACGAATAGAGACATTACTGGCACCCGCTTGAGTAAATTGATGAACAATGGGATGACAGTGTTACAGTGATATATGTGTTTGGGCCACACCTGGCAGTGCTCAGGGATCACACTGTGGTGCCTAGGGGCCTATGTGGTACTGGGAATCAAACTGAGGTTGGCCACATGCAAGGCAACTGTCTTACCCTTGTACTATCTCTCTGGTTTCCCAAATTAATTTTGTTTGGGGGCCACACCCAGTCATGCTCAGAGGTTAATCCTGGCTCTGCACTCTGGAAATACTCCTGGTAGTAATTGGAGGACAATATGGAATGCCCTGGATTGAACCCAGGTCAGCTACATGCACTGTACTGTACTGCCTCTCTATACCCAATCAAAATTCATTTTAGAACATTTCCATATCCTCCCAAAGAAATTTCATAGCCCACGCCAACCCTACTAGCCCACTATCTACCCCTACGGAACCCCTCATCTGCTCTCCAGTGCTCTCTGTGTCTTTGCCTCCCTCGACACAAGATAGAATCACTCATGTAGTCCTCTGTGGCTGGCTTCTTTGATAATGATTTGAAAGATGCTGAATGGTAAGTAGAAACACATGTCCATTACATAGTGAACCTAGAATAAAATAATTGCCTAAATATTTAATAATGGGCCACTCTGAAAGTTAAAATCTCTGTATCCCATCTGAAAATTTTGTAAAATGGAGGTTCATGTTTTCACATGATCATAAGGGAGAAGAAAGAGCCTTTACCCACTCCATCAATTTGTTACTGGAGACATATTGCTAAAATTTTTTAAGGACGTAGAATCTCTTTTCACCAGTGCTCAGAGAGCATTCCCGTACAAAACAGTTGCACCTGAGTATTGAGTATAAATCATCTAAGCCAGTTCTACTTTGAGGACGTGTGTTTGAAAGAGATTGATGCTCAGTTTTTATACCCTAAGATCATGGTAGTGTGGGCTATGATCATAACCGTAGACTTCAAAGGAACAAAAATTTCCCAGGTTATTTAAATATGCTAATGGACTGCAAAACACTGATATAAATTCACCCTGTTTTCTCATCTGCAATTTTTTAATTTAAAAAAAAAGGTCCTCTGGGTCCTCATTTCTACTGAATAAATTAATATTTAGACAGGAGAGAGTGTATGGGGCTTAAGGCACTGGTTGGTCTTGCATGTGCTGACCCTGGATCTATTTCTGGCACTGCCAGAGGTCACTCGAGCACAGAGCCAGGAACAGCCCTTGAACCTGGACGTGATTCACAAACCAAAAGAAGAAAGAAGAAAAGAAAAAAAATCATGTAGGAAGGGACATTATAGGGCTCAGGAGCTCACAGAGTTCTGGTGGGAAATGAAACAGTGGTAGGCCCCCTGCCCCCTGTGGGGCTCCTGGGCCAGCAAGGCGAGCTGGAAGTCCCTGACCCCCAGACTGGAACTGTAGCTCTGCCATACTGCATGACCTGCAAACATGGCTTCTGAGGTTTCACCTCCCCTTTCACATCCTAAAGTGTGATTCTCCTGTGGCCAAGGTAGCAGCTGGACCGTGCATGGAGAGGAATTCTGGGAAATGTAGTTTCAGCTTAGCTTGTCTCTACAGTGCAAAACCGCCTCAGAGTCTGGGTGTGGTTAAAGTTGGTGGAACCCTTGCAGACTGCTAGAGGAACCATCAGGTTATCCTATTAAATCATTACAAGTCAGTGCATGCCTTTTTCCTTTCCCAGTTGGGGAGTGTGTGTATGTGTGTGGTTGAGGCCACATTGGTGCTCAGCTATTCCAGGCTCTCTGCTCAGGAGTGACCCCTGGTGGTGCTAGGGGGCCATACGCGGTGCACCCAAGGAAAGCCACCTTATCTTCTGTGCTGGCTTGCTTTTTGGTCCTGGAAAAGTCAAGTTCTGATGTTTGCAATGAGAGGACCATGATGCTGCTTTGATCTCACCTAAGTGTTTTCAAGAGATCTCGCTCGCTTTAATTTGCAATCAAGCAAGGTTGGGGTCCTGAATGTGAAGTTCTGTAGGAAGATCTAACCCTGAACCCAAACTTCAAGGGGAAAGCACAGACCATGTCTGCATCCCTTCCCCTTCCTCCATCCCGTTCTACCCACATGAGCATACAATTTGGAACCAAAGAAGGCCCTGGTATGTTTCCTCTACCACACATTGAGGGTTCTGGCAGGAAACAGGACATGCCCTGTAGTTGGTTTGATTTTAGGGTCACACCTGACAATGCTCAAGGGTTAGTCCAAGTTCTGCATTCAGGAATAAAATCTGGTGGTGTTTGGGGTATCATATAGAATGTCAGAGATTGAGGCTGGGTCAACTGTGTGGAAAGCAAGAGCCCTTCCCCCGTACTATCAGTGACCCATGCTCTGCAATTAGGGGCCAGGAGCCTCCTGGTTTGGCTCAAGTAGCCAGTCTACACCCATCGTTCAAGGTAAGTTGGTGGATTGCGAGGGAGGGACACAGTGAGGTGGACACAAATTCGACATCTATGAAATAGACGGATAATAGATGAGTGATGAATGGAAACGTGTAGATATTAAGATGTACTGGCGGCTGGTGGGCAGAATGCCCTACCCCCACAAATGAGCACCTTCCAATCCCTGGGCCTGTGAAATAACTTGTCCAGATGGACCCAATCCAAGCCCGTGAGATAATTATCCATTGGAATAGGAAGGCAGAGAAGTAAGGGGGAATCAAAGATCCAAACTATAGGGTTCACAAGTCAGACCTGGAGAGGGATTGCTAGGAGCTATGAGTGGAAATCCCCCACCCCCGTAACAGCCAGTAAGGAAGGGGGACCACAGTTCCCCCAACCCCAAGAGGCACAACTGTCACACACAGCCTGAATGAGCTTGCAGGACACTTCTCCCAACCTGCCAAGAGGAATTCTGCTGGCCAGTACCCTGATTTGGAACTGCACAGAGGATCAACTGGGTCTTGTCGAGTTTCTGATGTGTAGATCTTGGAAACATCTGAATCGTTTTTTGTCACCATTTGTGGTCATTTGTTACATCAATGACAGTAAACCAATGCAGGGGCTGAGCTGACAAGATCTGGGTCCAGGAGGGCAGGAAAGGTGGAAGATCAATACGTGTGGCTGTCAGACAACATGTTTTTGGTGTATTTTATAGCTTTTTTTGGGGGGTTTGACTTTTGGGGTCACAGCTAGCAATGCTCAAGGGTTACTTCTGGCTCTGCACTCAGGAATTACTCTTGGTTGTGCTCGGAGAGCCATTTGGGATGCCAGGGATCAAACCTGGATCAATTGTGTGCCAGGCAAACGACCTCTCTGATGTACTGTCACTCTAGTCCCTCACTCAATATCTGAATGGGAAAATAGAACCTAGAGGTCTTGGCCAAAGCTTACACTGCCATCAAATATCACATTCCAGGCGAGGGTTTGGAGGTTTCTGGCCTGGGCCTGATAGTCCCAGGATTCCGGGACATATCCCAAAGGCTATTACCCTGCTAAATGTAACAAAAATTTTTATTTCCTTTTTTTTCCTCTGTGTGTGTGTGGACACTAGACACACTGGTATTATTCCCTTGTCCCCAACCCTACAGCTGCTGGGAGGGCCTGAGGATGTATAGGAAGTGGGTCTTGCGGGCAGGTGACCTGGGGACACTTTGGAACCCCTCTTCTGGACTTTCCTCATGGGTTCCCTCGAGGAGACCATCCCGGATGGCCTGCAGCCGATGTCGCTTCTCACTGAGCCACTGGCCACCCTCCTGGGCATCCTGGTGGGACCGGCGCTGTGGCAGTTTCATGATCCAGAAGGCCATGAGGGGGTGGGGTTTTGCACGGAAGCTGCCTGTGGGCTTCTGCACGGGCACCAGCATCTTCTTCTCTTCTATCTTGGGTACCTGTGGAGGAGGAACAAAGGAGGGTCAGGGACCCACACTGCTGCCAGTAGGGAGTTTTGGGAATTAAAAGCACCTTTTGATGGTTAGAGAGGATGAGAGAGCACAGGTATTTTTTTCAGGGGCTTTTGAATGAAGAGCACTGGGGTTTGAAGAATTCTTCATGATTGAAAACGTGCTTTGGGAGGTTTCACAGGACTTAAAGAATTGATGATACCACATGGATTACAAAGCACTTTTAGGATGAAATCTACTGAGATTAACCATGCTTGAAATTTACAGAAAAGAACTTTCAGGTGAAAAGCTATTGCTGTTTTTCAAAGATTGTGGCCACAACTGCAGTGTGATCCTTGACTGAGCATGGATTTGTAAGTCAAAAGTAGGGGTTAGGCGTGTGGAGAGATAGTACAGTGAGTCAGGAGCTGGTCTTGCATGTAGCAGACCTGGGTTCAGTCTGACACCACATATGTTCCCTTGAGTTCTGAGTGATCTTCGGGCAAAGTGATCCTTGCCAGGAATAAGCCCTGAGTACCAGCAGGTGTGGCTCCCCTCAAAAAAAAAAAAAAGAAGAAGAAATTGTAAGTGTGGGGACTAGATAGATAGGACAGGTATTAGGGTACATGCCTTGCACGTGGCCAGCTCCAATTTATGGTTTTTGATTGTTTTGTTGGGGAGTCACATCCAGTTGTGCTCAGGGATTACTCCTGGCTCTGCACTCAGGAACTGCTCCTGGAGGTACTCAGGAGACCCTATAGAATACTGGGAATTGAACCCAGGTCAGCTGTGTGCCAAGCCAGTGACCTCCCTGCTGTCCTAATACTCTGGTACGGCCGGTCCCAGTTTAATCCCTGCTCCCCACGATCCCCCCGAGTACTGCCAGGGTAGCCCAGGGAGTCCCTGGCACCACAGAGCCCAAGCAGCAGTGCACCTTCCAGCCTTCACGTAGAACCTCCCACCTGCCAGGTTAGCTGAAAATTGCTGGAGGGGTCCCCTGCCTCCTGAGCACTGCTGACATCTAGCTCTCTTGGCACAGTTTTGGGTTTAGTGTGGACATGGGGTCCCTGCCATCAATGAGGCCAACAGACAGTGATATGTGGGTGCTTGTTAGATCTACAAACTCCAAGGCTCTTGTGCAACCAGGATCGGCTTGCTGGAGAGAACTGACGTTAAGGAGTTTGTCTCTATGGCTGGTTCGAACCCTGGCACTACAGGGGTTCCTGAGCACTGCCCCCGAATATGCCAAGGACTGGCAGTAAGTTCCCAGAAGCTAGGGGAGAGGCCAGAACAGGTCGTCTGGTGCCACTCTGTGTGTAGTTTCTCCAGAAGTGGGGGACAAGAGGTAAGAGTATGTATCAGTGCTAATTGATTTGGGTGGGTCTTAAGCTGTGCTTTGCATACAAGAGGCCTAGGGTTGAAAGCCAGCACTGTATGGTCTTCTGAGTACTATCAGACATGACCCCTGAGCACCACCAGGAGAGGTCCACAAACTGAAACCAAGAAACTAAACATCTTGAGTGTGAAAAGGGCAATTGGGACATGTGGGAAGTGTGATGACGCATTGATCTCAGGCTAAAGGAGTTAGGGGTGAAATGCCATGCCATCAGTCATGGATCGCATTGTTCAAAAAAGAAAAAGGTAAAAGGACTCTTTCAAGCCGTGTTCTCCTTTAACACCTCTCTCTCTCTCTCTCTCTCTCTCTCTTTCTCCCCCCACTCCCCCACCTCTTTCTCTGTTTCTCGGCTTGCATGTTTCCTTGCAAGGAGTCATCCTGAATAGGATTGGCAGAACACTAGATGAAGGACAACCATGCGAACAAGCCGGTTTTCGAAAAGGATTCATCATTATTGACCAGATCCACACAATAGCCAAGCTCATTGAGGTTTCTCGGGAGTTCAAGATGCCGCTTTGTCCAACATTCATTGATTTAAAGAAGGCCTTTGATTCTATTGAGACAGAAGCAGTCATTGAAGCCCTAGCCAATCAGGGCATTCAAACTCAATACATCAGGATCCTTCGTGAACTGGATTACGGATTTACTACCAGGATCTCACCATTCTACAAAGAAGTGATCATCTATGTCAAGAGAGGGGTTTGGCAGAGTGATACCATTTCACCAAAACTCTTCAGTGCCACCCTCGAGAACGTCATGGGACGACAGGAATGGGAGTGAAGATAGACAGTCAGCAACTACACCACCTCCGCTTTGCCGATGACATCGTTCTAATAACACCAAACATTAGCCAAGTGGCACAAACGTTGGCCGACTTCGACCGTGAGTGTGGAAAGGTTGGACTCCAGCTGGATCTCACGAAGACAATGTTTATGAGAAACGGTCTCGTTCCTGACATCCCATTCACTCTTAATGGGACAAACATCTACGAATGCAACAGTTATGTGTACCTAGGTCGAGAAGTCAACATGATGAATGACCTGGCACCTGAGAAGCGCAGGAGGAAGAGAGCGGCTTGGAACGCCTTCAAGAGCGTCGAAGAAATAGCTAAGAGGATGAAGAACCTCCGGCTCTGGGCACATCTCTTCGATTCCACTGTTCTTCCTGCATTAACATACACTTCAGAGACCTGGGCCCTACGAAAACAGGATGAGAACGCTATTCAGGTCTCCCAAAGAGGAATCTAAAGAGCTATGCTTGGAGTATCACGTTTCACTCAAATGAGAGAGAGAGTCTGGAGTTTCGACCTCCGTGGACGGTCAAGAATCAGGGATGCTGTCTCGTTTGCCAAGGCGTCGAAAATCAGATGGGCTGGACACATAATGCGATTTGGAGATGACCGCTGGACTAGAGCCATTACTGACTGGATTCCACGGGACGTCAAAAGACCGAGTGGCCGTCCACCTACCAGATGGTCAGACTTCTTCATCAAGACCCTGAACGATCGGTTTGAGGCTCTTCGTGTTCCTAGAATGAACAGACGCTATTGGGCTACACTAGCACGCGACAGGGGCAAATGGAGACGTTACTAGTGCCCGCTCGAGCAAATCGATGATTAGCGGGAAGTCAAGTGATCAAGTGATGTTTCCTTGTAAGCAGAAAAGCTTGTGGAAAAGTCCGTTTTCTCTATTGAATATCTTTTTTCTCCCCTTGTGACTTTCTAAGATTTTGCTCAATAAAAATTATGTTGCTTCATTGGGGTCAGAGTGGTAGTACAGTGGGTAGAGCACTTTGCATGTGGGTTTAATTCTCGGCACCCCCTATGGTCCCCCAACCACAACCAGGAGCTGCCTTTGAGAGCAGCGCCAGGAGTAAGCCGGGCATGGACATGTGTGACCCCCCCCCCCAAACAGAATACTATCTTGCTTCATTTTAAAAACAAAAAAGAAAAGATCAAATAAATATGGTGGAGGTCAAGGGTTCTCTACAGAAGTCATGGTATTTGCAGAGCCAGAGGGATAGTACAGTGGGGAGAGCATTTGTCCTACACATGCAGACGACCCAGGTTCAATCCCTATCATCCCATATGGTCCCCCAAGCGCTGTCAGGAGTAATCCCTGAGCATCGCCCAGTGTGATCCCCAGAGCCCCAAAATAAACCAACAAAAAGAAGTTAAGGTATTTCTAGTTGTCACAGTTGGCCACATGGGAGTGGGGTCTTACTTTTCTCTAGTAGGTGGAGTCCAGGGACGCTGATGAGCACATAGGACACTCCACCCACACAGTGGAAGATTCCGTGGACCTAAATACCAGTGGGACTGAGGTTGAGGAACCTCACTCAAGTGGAAAGGGAATAACGTTTGTGTTTGGGACGTACCTGGTGGTGCCCAGAGCTAATTCTGGCTCTGTGCTTGAGGGGCTCCTGGCATTGCTTGAGGGATCCTTTTTGGTGCCAGGGATTTAAATGGGGGTCGCCCATAGGCCAGCCAAGTGCCTTATCTCCTGTGCTATTTCTCTGGCCCCACAAAGGGAATAATGACTTTATTTACTGTACAATTTTCTCCAACTCTTCTGTAGATTTGAACTCTTTATAAGTTTGTTTTGTTTTCGATGTTTGGATCGCACCTGGTGGTTGCTCAGCCCGAGAAATAGTATAGCAAGTAGGACACTTCCCTTGCTTATGATAGACCTGGGTTCGATCCCCAGCATCCCATGAGGTTCCCTAAGCATTCCAGAGTGATTCCTGAGTGCAGAGCCAGGAGTAGGCCCTGAGCATCACCGAGTGTGAACCCCGAAAAAAAAACCAAGAAAACAAAACTATTCCAGGACCTTCTTGTCTTTTGTCCCCCCGTTTTTTGTGGGGGAAGGTTGGGCCACACCCAGCGATGCTCGGACTATCCCTGCTGTGTTCAGCAGTGACCTGTAGTGCTACTTGGGTTTGGGGGTCAGAGTGATAGTACAGTGTGTACGGCACTTGCTTGGCACGCATCAGACCCAGGTTCAATCCACAGTACCCCTAATGGTCCCTAAGCCTCGCCATAAGTGATTCTTGAGCACAGAGCTAGGAGCAAGTCCTGAGCACTGCAGTGTGAGTCCCCACAAATGTTCTGATTGGACACTGGGGGGGGCATGTTCCAACCTTCCAGTCACTGTTGATGTTGCCGTCGCCTGGTTCCATGGACGCCACCACCTTCTCGGATATTAGTACATCTCCTGTTTTGTTGTCTGTCACCTAACAGGGGATGGGTGGAACACAGAGTGAGCCAAACTGCATCCTCCCTACCTCCTGGGCCCGTGGCTGGTGGGAGACTCGGGATCCTGAATGTGGGAACTGGAGGTATGTGTATGCCAGCCCTGCCCACCTTGTCGATCTGGAGGTGGCTGGAGAGAGTGTTGTTTCCCAGTTTGTGCTTCTGGTTCTCTTCTTCATGGTAGTTCTTGGGGAGGCTCCGGAAGTCCATGGGGGCAGAGAAGAAGCTGTTCAGACCCCGCAACAGGTCATCCTGGCACCAAGGAGGGGTTAGTGAACCACCAGACTCGGGGTTCTGTGCTCTGGCCCCATAGTCTGCATACCCGTTTCCCTGTGCTCTGACCTTGGCCCACACCCCATCTGTTCTGTCTCTGGTCTGTTCTGTTGCCTTCTGCTCTGGTCCTTTGTCTCTTTCCAGATACTCTCTGGTGTCATGTCGACCTGCCATTGGTCTCTCTTCCCTCTTTTTTCTATTCCAGGACCTCCTTGTCTTTTGTCCCCCCTTCACCTTTTTTTTGTGGGGGAAGGTTGGGCCACACCCAGCGATGCTCGGACTATCCCTGCTGTGTTCAGCAGTGACCTGTAGTGCTACATGGGACCACATGCAGTTCTTGGGGACCCAATCTGGATCTGTCACAAACTCAGTAAAGGCCTTACCCCTTTTCTATCATTTCATTCCCTCTCTTCTTCTTATATTGTTTGGTTTTGGGGTCACACCCCACGATGCTCTGGGCTCCAGGGTGCAGTGCTGAGGATTCAAATCGTTATCTGCTGCGTGCAAGGAGAGTGCCCTAACCCTGTACCATCTCTTGGCCCTGATTCCCTCTTCTAGTCTTGCCTGGCATTTTTCAGTCACCCAGAACCTCCTCCCACCTCCACCAGTCTCCATTTGCTGGCTACCCTGTCCCCGACCCCCACTTCTCTGTATCTTTTCTGCCCCTTCTCTCCTCGCCCCAGTGCCCTATAGCTCACTCTCAGGAAAAGCCGAGTGAAGCTTTGGAGTAGGCTCTGGAGGCCTAGAAACCCTCCGGAACTCTCCGGGGTGTCGCTGTCCAGGACGGGGGCCGCGGAAGTTGGGCGCAGCGAGGCAAGCAGGGCGACGAGCAGCGGGAGCCACATGGCGGGGCGGACGGGGAGCCTGCGGCAAAGGGTGACGGACGGGTCGTGTCCACTCTCCCAGACCGTGACAACGAACCCCCCTTTCCAGTCCTGGCATCGCCCAAGCCCAGCCCCCTCCCCAAGCTCAGCCCTCCATTCCGGCCAGGTCGGCCGCTTCGGGATTCCTCCTAGTCCTGGAATCTCTCATCCTCACCTCCGCCCATACTCACACCCGATTTTATTATTCACCTCCACGCCACGCCCCTCCTTCTGGGCCCTGCCTGTATGCTAGAGCACTGTCCGGTCGCTGGACCCTCGGACTCGGGGCTTCCGCGGACAGTTAAAGCCAAACAGTTCTGGTCTCGCGCCACCGCGGGTGACCCCGAGCGTTGGCAAAATTCCGCGAGCCCGGTCGGCGCCCGGATTGTTCGGCCACGCCCCCGTGCAATGACGTCATCTCATTCTAGGCCCTCGACTTGAAGGCCACGCCCCCTAGGCCAGGGCCACGCCTCTATTCCGCCAAACCACGCCCCTTGGGGCCCGACCGCGCGTTTGTTCCACGGCCACACCCACACGGTGAAACCTCGGTCCTCTCCGTTGATCTCGGCTCGAGGGCCCCCTGTATCGTCTGCGTTCTCTGACGGCGGCCCTTGTCCGGGAGTGTCCTTCCGATTAGGGTGGCCAGACCTCTTGACTTGGCCCCTGGATCACCTCTGGGGGCCCCGGATCATGCCCGATCCCTCCAGCTCAATCCCCCGGCTCTTTCTGTCGGCATTGGCATGGGTTCGCCCGCTAACGCAGTTGCGTTTCTATTTCTGAATTTCTCCTTGTTCCCGCTTCCCCCCCGCCCCCCCCCCCCCAGCATTTGGAAGGATTAAAGCACCCAACAGAGGGCAGTGTAGGGACTCAGAACCCGGAGATATCTTCAGTCACATTAAACCGCCTTGTCTCCTCTCCAAAACCTCAATTCAGTTCTAGGTTTCACCTACCAACAAACCAAGGGAAACTCAAAAACCCACAGTCTGCTTTAGGCTTGTGAGTTTGCACCTCAGCCTCCCATCTTTGAGTTCCTAGCTCCTCTCTCTTCAGGTCCTGGGACAGCCACCACTTTTATTTTTTGGGGGGAGGGGCTACATCCGGCTGTGCTTACTCCTGGGTCTGTGCTCCCCTGGTGGCTTGGTGGGGTTCAGGGGGCCATATGGGATGCAGGGGATCAAACCTGTGTGGGCGCGTGCAAAGCAAATGATCACCCTGCTATACTATCTGGTGAGCTCCCAACAAACCTCGTCCAAAAAAAAAGTAAATAAATCCACACATCTCAAGCCTCAAAAATCAAAAATCCGCCTGGGACAACAGAAAAGCTGGGTTCATGCTTGGGTCCCTTGCACAGCCTCGTCCGCGTCCTAGAGCCTGACTTCTTCAATTGCGGGTCACCACCCCATAAGGGAGTGGGTAACTGGATGTGGGGGGAGGGGCTGGGGGTAAAAAGCAGCAGTAAAGGTTCCTGAACGTGCAAAGACAAACATCGAAACCAATCACAAGGCTTTCTGGCCGCACCGATCTGTGTTGTATCTCTGGGGATGTGGGATGTGGGGAGTACGCTTTGCCCGCAGAAAAAGTTTAAGACGTCCTGCAACTAGAGTGAGACCAGAAATCTCAGCTCCCCGCCCCTCCTCCCTCAGACACGGAGATCCAGACTCCCAGCCCCTCCTCCCGCAGCCCCCAAGAAATCCAGGCCCCAGCCCCTCCTCCTGGGCCCAGGATTCCCCCCCCCCCCCGTCCCTCCTCCTTCAGTCCCTGAAGTTCTGACCCCCAAGTCCTCTCCTCTCTCAGGGCCCCCATCTCGAGATCCCAGAGCAGAAATCCTCCCGCCGAAGTGTCACCGTCCGATCCCCTTCCCGCTGTCCCGAGCCCGGGCCCGCCCCCCCTCCAGTCCCTCCCACTTTTCCCAAACAAAGCTCCCCGCAACTTTCTCCCTCGCAGCGCCCCGCCCGCCCGCGGCTCCCCAGCCCCTGGCCGTGAGGTAGGAGGCGCCGGCGGGAGTCGGGGATCCCGCGTCGGGGTGTGTGAGTTGTGCTGGGAAGTTGCGTGTGGAGAGCCGAGGCGCCTGCGGGGCGCGCGGGCGGGGGCTGCCGCGGGCGGGATGAGGGTGCGCGTGTGCCCGGGTCTGCGTTTGGGGTGCGTGCGTGCGAGCCCGGGCGGGGGCTCGCGGGCCGGCGGGGGGGCGGCGATGTCGCGGGTTCGGACCCTGCGTGGATTCGAGCCAGCTGGCCGGTGCGTGTCATTCGTGGGCGCCCGGTGCTGCTCGGGGAGCACGCAGTGGGGCCCTCGGAGTGACCGCGGGAAGGGCATCGAGCTTTCTGGGTCTTGGGTCTTGAGCCTTTCGAAGTTTGGGGCCCGGGGCGGGAAATTCGGGGGGCAGCTGGCTTCGCCGACTCCTCCGTCCCTTTGTCTGGACACATGGGGGAGAGCGGGGGTGGGATTGAGGCCTACGGGGGTCCCGCAGCGGCGACCCCGAGCTCGGCCTTGGGGTCTTTGTCTGGTCCGGGGGCTCCGGGGTCCGAAGCCAGAGGGGGCTGGGGGCCCCGGAAAAGTGGCGGACGTGGAGCCGCGGGGAGGCGGGAACCGTGTGTGTTGGAAAAAGTTTCCCTGTCCGCGGCCTCCGGAAAGTCGCCGGGACGGGCGCAGCCGGGGCGGGCTGGCGGGCGGGCGGGGCGCCCCTCCCCGACGGGGGGTTGTGGGAAGCGGGGGGAGGGGACGCTGGGCCCTTTGTTCTGGCTCTCCCGGTGGCAGGACGCCCCTGCCCCCCAGCCTGTGGGTATTTGGGTCCTTCCTGGGCCGGGCTGGGCCTCCGGCCCTGGTCCCCGCACCCCGGCCCGCACCTCGGTGCGCTCCTCTCAGGAGCCCCCAGCTGGGGCTTGGGGCCCCCCGCCGCTCTTTGGCTTCCCGACTCCCTCCCGCCGCCTAGCCCGCCCGCAGCCTCACAGGCCTGGGCCCCTCCTCCCCTGGCAGCTGCTGGTGCCTCCCAGCACCTGTTCTTTTTGGGGGGGCGGTTGGGGGAGATGAGAAAAGCTCAGACATGCACACCCTTCGGGAGAGCTTGGCCTGACTCCCAGATTGGCACTCACTGGCGGGAGGTGCTTTGGGGTCTTGAGGGGTTATCAAAGCTGGGACGCCCCCCAGGAACTCAGAGGACACTCACCCTAAGATTCCCACCCCCCAAATCCAGCCCCATCCTCCTTTAGTGCCCAGGGGTCCAGACCCCCAGACCGTCCTCCTCCCTCAGACAACCTCTCTTACCCCCAGGCTTTCCTTCAAACCCAGGGGTGCCAGGCCTCTAACCCCTTCCTTCCTCAGACCCAGAGGACCAGGCCCCCACCCTCTCTCTCAGACTCTCAGTCCTTCCTTCCTCAGCCTCAGGGGTCCATGTCCCTAACCCCTCCTCCCTCAGACCCTTAAATCCTCCTCCCTTAGACCCAGAGGTCCAAGTCCTGGCCCCTCCTCCCTCAGGCCCTTGAACCCTCCTCCCTCAGACACAGGGGTCTAGGTCTCTAGACTCTCCTCCCTCAGATTCAGGACCCCCTAGCCCCTCCCCACATTCAGACCCAGGGTCTACCCGTTGGACTTGTTACGGATTCCCAGCCCTGACAACCTCCGCATGGGGGGGTCTCTTTGGGTCAGGGAACCTTGCTAAGCTCTGTGTTCTCTAGGCCCAGATGGGGGAACCCCGGGCAGGGGCCCCCCTGGATGATGGCAGCGGCTGGACAGGAAGTGAGGAAGGAAGTGAGGAGGGCACCGGTGGCAGTGAGGGGGCAGGAGGAGATGGCGGCTCAGATGCGGAGGGCGTCTGGAGCCCCGACATTGAGCAGAGCTTCCAGGAGGCCCTGGCCATCTACCCGCCTTGTGGCCGGCGGAAAATCATCCTGTCTGACGAAGGCAAGATGTATGGTGAGTACCTCCTTTTCGCTCCTTCCCCCTCGACACACACACACACACACACACACACACACACACACACACACACACACACCCCAATCTGTGGAACTGGGGACCCTCATCTCACAAAAACCCTGCTGCACATATTTGGAAACTGAGGCAAAGAGAGGTTAAAGCTGTTGACTTGGGTTGCAGAGCCAGCCTGTGGTAGAGCTGGGATTCGAACTTCAGGACAGCTCCCAGGCGTGCGGTCACCCCCTGGGGACTCGTTCCTCTCTCTTTCCCTGCTCCTCTCGGTTTAAGGGTCTGCCCCAGCTGACATTCTACATTCTTTGACTCTAGGTCGCAATGAATTGATTGCCCGCTACATCAAGCTGAGAACTGGGAAGACCCGAACTCGCAAACAGGTCTCAGGACTGACTGGGGGGAAGGGAGTGATTCTCTTTAGGGTTATCTTCTTGGGGCTCTGAGTGGTGGGAGGTCCTGCAGGATCGTCTTCCTGGAGCACCTCTGGCCAGATGCTCTGCCTACACTTGCTGCTCGGGGACCAGAGTGAGAGGCTGAAAGAGCAGAATTTGAGGGGCAGGGGGAAGGAGAATGTGGGCCTCAGTGTTGGCTGGGTCTGGGAGGAGCACTGGCAGGGGCGAAAATAGTCTCCTTCGGGGACTTGGCTCTGTGCCTGAGCCCCACGAGCTGCATGTTTTGGGGTCTCATCCCGGACTGAGCCCGCAGTCTGCCCTCTTCCTCCAGGTCTCCAGTCACATCCAGGTTTTGGCCCGAAGGAAATCGAGGGAAATTCAGTCCAAACTCAAGGTAGGACCAAGGCAGACCCCTGACTGGGAGGGGGATAGAGATGGGGGCGTGGGCAGAAACTCAGAAAGGGACAGAGACTCAGAGAGAGGTGGTGACAAGAGGCCCAGAGAGAGGATCAGAGACCCAGAGAGAGGGACAGTCCCAGAGAGGGGGACAGAGACTCACAGAGAGGGGGACAGAGACCCAGAGAGAGGGGGACAGAGACCCAGGGAGGGGGACAGAGACCCAGAGAGAAGGGGACAAAGACCCAGAGAGGGACAGAGACCCAGGAACTTTTTGTTGTTGTTTTTGAGCCACACCTGGCCATGCTCAATGGTTACTCCTTGCTCTGTGCTCAGGGATCACTCTTGGTGTTGCTCAGGGGACCATATAGGATGTTGGGGATCAAACCCCCAGATGGCTGCGTGCAGGACAAGCCTGTTGTACTATTGCTCCAGCCACCCAGAAACCCAGAGAGAAAGGGACAGAGACCCAGGGAGGGGGACAGAGACCCAGAGAGGGGGACAGAGATGGAGACAGTCACAGAGAGAAGCTGAGAAGCAGAGGCCAGAGGCAGGGAGGTGGGGAGGACGCAGCTGAGGTGGTGGCTGGTGACCAGAAGGGCACAGGGGCAGGGGATCACCGAGGAGGCAGGGGATTGAGGAAGGGGGAGACAAAACTAAGGGAGGGTAGGCAAGGGCCTCTGAGGGGGCAGACTGGCTCCGCCAGGCAAGAGGAGTGGCTGTTGCCCCCTGCGCTGTCTGTCCTTCATGGGGTTCGCCGGGGCCCGCCTTGCCTCCCCTCCTCAGTTATGACAGTTTCCTGGCTACCTTCCCATTTCTGGGTCTCCCACAGGCTCTTTCTGAGTCCAGAAATCTTCATTTCTTTTTGGAGATTTTCACATCAACCTTCTTTTCTTCATCCTCTGCATGTCCCATACCCACCTGACCCAAGCCCCCCATTTTATGGACACCCCCGCGCCTCTGCATGGCCCTTTCGACCTGGGACCATCCCTTCCTGCTCTGTTCTGGGCCGGAAGCCTCCCCTTCCTCTCTCTGTGGGCCTAAAAGTCATCGCTTCTGGCCTCTTGTGCTCCTCTCTTCCTGACTGTGTGAGGAAATGGTCATCACCTTTTCCCTCTGCGTCTAACATTCTCATTTCCTGCTCCCTGGGGAGTCGGAAGTCTGGAAGCCTTCACTTCCGGCTCCATCTTGACCTAGAAAGCCTATCTTTGGCTCTGGCCATGGGAACCCTCTCCCAGCTAGGCCTGGCCACATCTGCTGCTTGTTCCATGGTGGCCCTTCGTGCTCCCTTCTTCCCACTGCTCAGCTCAGGGTGGCAGGGATGTAGGGTTCGGGGTGGGGGTGGGGGTGGGGGACAGGAAGGCCTGAGAGCTCCGGCCTCACTTCCTAAGTCATGTTTTCTTTCCTCCCTTGGCACCCTCCCCCACCCCCACGGGCAGGCCCTGAATGTGGTAAGTGTCCCTGCCCGTCCTTGCAAACCCATCCCTTGCCGCCCAGGTTAGGAGGGACAGAGGGCTGTAGCAGGAAGGACTTGTCACCCCCCATCCCCCTGCCACTGGCTTGACTCCCCGGCTCTGCATCTGCCCCTGTAGGCCCCACCCTGTCATTTTCCCTACTCCTTGCTTTGTTGACTGTGATTCCGTTAATGATTAACTCCCACTTCCCCACAGGACCAGGTTTCCAAGGACAAAGCTTTTCAGACAATGGCCACCATGTCCTCAGCCCAGCTCATCTCAGCACCTTCCCTGCAGGCCAAACTGGGTCCTGCTGGTCCTCAGGTGACCTGGGTCTGGCCTCATGGGGCTTGGGGCTGGAGGAGGTGAGGCCAGAGACTCCACAGGTCTGCCTGTTTGACTATCTTTCCCTCTCTCTGTCCCTTCTCCAGGCCTCTGAGCTCTTCCAGTTTTGGTCGGGCAGCTCTGGGCCTCCGTGGAACGTTCCTGAGTGAGTGTTGTCCATTTTGATTCAGTCCCTACTCCCAGCCACCCCTGACCCCGCCCCCACACCCCCCCACCCCGCCCCATCTCCGCCTGTCCTTTCCATAGTCCAGTTCCCAGCTCCCTGGTGAACAAGGATGATTCTGTTGTTCAGTTGGGGTGACACCCGGTGATGCTCGTGTTACTCTTTGCCCCTGGCTCTGCACTCAGAAATCGCTCCTGGTGGTGCTTGGGGGACCATAGGGGGTGCCGGGGATCAACCCCGATTGGCTGTGTTCAAGGCAAATGCCCTCCCCGCTGTCCTAGTGCTCCAGCCCACTGTTCTGGTCTTGACTCCCAAGCAAGCTGCGGTCCTGTGGGGAGGACAGGGTGTGAGCTGGGCAAGTGAGGAGAGCCAGCGTAGGGAAGCCTGAAGGCAGAGTTTTGCCTGGGGCTGCTGAACCTCCTTGGTGTGTGCTGGGAGAAGGAGGTGGTGTGGGGAACAAATGAGCTCAGAACTGGACTTGCCATGCAGAGGTGGCCCTAGAGGTTCTGTTCCCACCGTCAGAAGAAAGAAAATGGGAGTGACCTGTCATCTCTGAGAAGGTTCTCAGGGCAACTGGAGTTGTTTCTAGGCTGACACAGACTTGGGCCACTCATGGAAAGCCTAATTTTCAGCCCTGAGAGGCACTAAGGGATTGAGGCTGAACCTTGGAAGGGCAATGTGGCTTCCAGAATTTCAGGGGAAAGAAAAAGTTCTGAAAGTTAGTTCTGGGATCCTACTGAAGGCAGAGTAGGATCTCGTGAGGTGGCAGTGTTTTAGACAGAAAACAGCATTCGATAAGGCTGGAGTTTGTAGACATGGGTCCCTGGATTTCAGCCCACACTGGGAAGAGAAAGCATATGCCAAGGCCCTGAGGTAGGAAAGTTTGATGAGTGAGGCAGTGAGAGGCGGCTAGTATTAAGCGTTTAGATAAGTATCTCCTATTAAACACCAGCTTGGATAGGGGATATCAGTTCTGACTTTCACGGAGCATACATAAGTGGAGAGGGGAGGAGAGATAGATAGAGAACATGGGAAAAAAGTTATCAGCCAGCATTTATAAGTAAGAAACGCTGAGGCCCACAAATGGCCTCTGTAAGGAGGTATCATATTTTGAGTTATGGCCCCATAGCAAGAGGTGCAAGTCAGTGGGTAGAGGGATCAGTGATAGCAGAGCAGGGAGGGTGCTTGCCTTGTACACAGCCAACCCAGGTACGATCCCCAGCATCCCGCTTGGTCCTCTGAGCACTGCCAGGAGTAACCCCTGAGTGCAGAGCCAGGAATAACCCATGGGTGTGACCCAGATACCAAAAAAAAGGGGGGGGATGGCAAGCACTGGTCTAAGCCCTTGGGAGTTGGGATCTTAAGGTCCTTAGAGATTCTGATGGAGGATTTTGACTTCTTCCTAACCCTTGACACCTGACCTTAGGTGCATTATCCTGAACCTCTCACCTGTCTCTTCACTACCATATCCTCAGGCTGAGGTTGGAGTCTACAGTCACTAAATATGCATTTATTATTGGGGGGAGGGTGGTTTGGTTTTGGGCCACACCTGATGATGCTCAAAGGTCACTCCTGGTAATGCTTAAGGGGTCATTGGTCATGTGGGGGCTCGAACTGAGATCAGTTGCATGCAGGGGAAGTGCCCTGACTCGATACTATCTTTCTAGCCCTTATATATGGTTATTTAGAAAAATTGGGGTGGGGGTGCCTGGAGAGATAGTACAGTGGGTAGGGCGCTTGACTTGCATGCAGACTAACTCAGGTTAGATCCTGGCACTCCCTACAGTCCCTTGAGCACTGCCAGATGTACCCCAAAACAAAAACAACAAAACAAAATAACAAAAAAAATTTTTATCCCTCCCTCACCTTGTCTGGTTATTTAAATTTTAATTTTTGTAAACTGAAAAAAAAATTCATTTCTCAGGCCATATTTCTTGCCCAGTTAACACATGCCCTGTATGAGGAGCACATGCAGTCAGTGGCTCCAGTATTGGGCTGTGCAGAAGTAGACAGTTTTAACTTCCAGAAAGTTCTATGGCACAGCATTTTTTTTTTGGGGTCACACCTGGCAATGCACAGGGGTTACTCCTGGCTCTGCACTCAGGAATTACTCCTGGTGGTGCTCAGGGGACCATATGGGATGTTGGGATTCGAACCCGGGTCGGCCACGTGCAAGGGAAACGCCCTAGCTGCTGTGCTATCGCTCCAGCCCCTGGTACAGCATTTCTGTAGATTTTATTGTCCTTTCTCCCCACCCCTGATTTTGGCCTGATGTTCTGTCCCTGACCACAGACCCTTTTTCTCTCACTTCCATACCCTGCAGCCTGGCTTTGCTCCACGTCCTCTGTTCATGCTCTTCCTATCCTTGAGGTCCTGTCTGTCCTCTTCCTGCCACTTTTGTGCGAGGCACCAAAATATCCTCCAGGTCACAGACATCAGAGTTGAACGAGCTGGGGTTCACCCCTAGATCTAATGGGGCTTCGTATGTGCGACACTGGACAGATTGCTTGCCCTGTGTGCCTCAGTTCCTTCTATGTGAAATGAGTTGTATCAGCCTTCTGGGCTGTGAAGGTTCCAAGGACTTGGGCCCACAAGATGGCTGCTGGCCAGCATGGGGGCCCTCTTATTCTGGACCCTCAGAAAATGTTAGTTGGTACAAGGAGCATCTCTGCACCTTGCTGACCTGCAGCTCTTTCTCTCCCTCAGTGTGAAGCCATTCTCACAGACTCCATTCTCCTTGTCACTGACTCCCCCATCTGCTGACCTTCCAGGTAAGAGCCTGTTCTCTACTCTTTCCTGTCTCCCCTCTTCCCAGTGCCAGACACCTTTCCTTCAGCCTTCCATGAAGCAGGGGCCATGTCCTACTGAGGTCCAGCCCTGAGGCAGGGTGTGCAAGAGGAGAGAAAGATGAGTGGCCACAATTTAGAGCAGGTCCCTTTAGCAGACACTATTTTCAGGCAATTGCTATCATAGAGGATGTTGGGAAGATGCACAAGCTAAGACACTTTCAAAGGCAAGTCACAGGAATACCGAATCATGCTAAGGAATAATTAAAAAAGGACTTTCTTAATCCCGACCCTGATATTCCAGGAGAGATGAATTCAGGCATGGCTGAATCCAAGGCCAGAAATGGTAGCCTTTGAAGTTGCTTGTTGTTTTTTTTTTTTCTTTGTGTGTCACACCCGGTGATGCACAGGGGTTACTCCTGGCTCTGCACTCAAGAATTACTCCTGGTGGTGCTCAGGGGACCATATGGGGTGCTGAGAATTGAACCCGGGTCAGCTGCGTGCAAGGCAAATGCCCTACCCGCTGTGCTATCGCTCCAGCCCCCAGGAGTTGCTTGGTTTTGCTTTTGTTTGTGGATGGCTTTATTCCCAGGTAGGCTCTTCCTACCTGGCAGCAAAGATGACCTCCAGAAGTTCATACTAATGTGGTCCTAAGAACTCACATTGGTGAAAGACTTCTTAGCTTCCACTGATTCGTCTAGGAATGCTTTTGCATGCCAGGAACAGAAAACCCACCTAATTAGGGCCTTCAGTAACAAAAGCTTTAACAATTCCACCTAACAAAACGAAAGGTGTCAGATGAGCTGCGCCTTCCTGGGTCCGGTAGCTCAACACCACCAGAACTCACACCTCTGTAGGTCTGGTGGCCTCTGTCGTACTGTCCCCAGACGGCTGCTGTGATTCCAGGCATCGTCGCCCAACCAGGACTTGACCAGGGCCCACAACTTTCTCCTCCCAAAGTTCTGTCTTTTTCATTCAGGAAGAAACTCCTTCCCAGAAGCCCCCCCGCAGATTTCCCCTAACGTCTCATTGGCCAGAACTGTGTCACATGGCCACCTCTAGCTGCAAGGGAGGCTGGGAAAGTGAGTATTTAGCTTTTTCAGCTTCTAAGTGGAGGCAGGCAAGAGAGAACAGTGCTTGCTGTCTTCAGCAAATGTAAGCAATTTTTATCGGTATTTCTTCTTCCTTAGGGTACGAGCCCCCCCCAGCCCTCTCTCCCCCTGCCTTGCCCCCTCCTGCCCCCTCACCCCCAGCCTGGCAGGCTCGGGCCTTGGGCACTGCACGGCTGCAGCTGGTAGAATTCTCCGCCTTTGTGGAGCCACCCGATGCAGTTGATTCTGTGAGTGTGATTTTGGGTTTCTGGCGGGGGTGGGGAGGCGAGGGGCAGGGGCAGGAAAATAGGTTGAGGAATAGGGAGACTCGATCAACAGCAGGTTGCTGGCCACTAGTTCTGCTGTCTTTTTGGCACTGAGATTTTGCAGTTCCTGGGGCTGGAGCAATAGCACAGTGGGTAGGGCGATAGCCTTGCATGCTGCTTACCCAGGTTCTACCCCTGGGATCCCATATGGTCCTGCAAACCCACCAGGATTGAGCTCTGAGCACCACCGGCTGTGGCTCCAAAACAAAACACACACACACACACACACACACACACACACACACACTCACGCACGCATGCACGCACGCACGCACGCAGAATTTGCAGTACTTTTTGTTTTTATTGTCCCAGAGACTATCATACTCCAGTGGTACTTGGCAGCTGTTGGGACCAAACCCAGAACCTTGCCATGGAAGCCACATCCCCAGTTACCCACTTTTGCAGGCTTCCAGGTGATTTTGATGCTACCATTCCTGGGGTCACATTTTGAGAACTTACAGCATAAAGAAACAGGAAGGTCGTGGGGTCATGAATTGAGAAAGAGTAACACCCCAGGATATCATTTATGCAGTCATCAAACTTTTATTTCCCCTTCCAGTTTTTGCCCTTTTCCTTCTTTCTTTCTTTCTTTCTTTCTTTCTTTCTTTCTTTCTTTCTTTCTTTCTTTTTTTTGGGTCACACCTGGCGATGCACAGGAGTTACTCCTGGCGGTGCTCAGGGGACCATATGGGATGCTGGGAATCGAACCTGGGTCGGCCGCGTGCATGGCAAACGCCCTACTCATTGTGCTATCTCTCCAGCCCCCAGCCTTTTCTTTATTTTTTTAATTTATTTTATTTTGTTTCATTTTATTTTTTTTTGCTTTTTGGGTCACACCCAGCGATGCACAGGGGTTACTCCTGGCTCTGCACTCAGGAGTTACTCCTGGCAGTGCTCAGGGGACCTATGGGATGCTGGGAGTCGAACCCGGGTCAGCCGCATGCAAGGCAAATGCCCTACATGCTGTACTATCTCTCCAACCCCCCCTTTTCTTTATTTTTGACTTATGGGCCATACCTTCTGGTGCTCAGAGCTTACTCCTGGCTCTGAGCTCAGGGATCACTCCTGGCAGTGCTCGGGGGAGCATATTGGATGCCAGGGATTGAACCCAGGTCGGCAGCGTGCAAAGCAAGCGCCCTACCAGCTCTGTACTCTCTCCAGCCCTACCTGCCACCCAATTGAAAAAAAAAATTGATGGTGACTGGTTCAAACTCAGGACTCAGCAGTAGGTAATCTACTGATTAGCTGCATCCCCAGCCCAACCCTACTCACCTTTTAAAATTTTTTTGGTAGGCATATCTGATTGTGCTCGGGGCTCGCTCCTGGACCATATTGCAGTGCTGGGGCTCAAACCTAGGTCAGCTGAGTGCAAGACAAGCACATAACCACTGCATTACCTCTCTGACCCCATCCCCAGCCCTTTTGCACATTTTCTGGGTTGCATTACTCACCAAGGAGCCAATGGTGTTTTGCAAGACTCTCGCCTGGTTTTGGGATTCAAGTGGCACACTTTGTTGTATCCCTGGGGATCCCCAATGACACCGTGGAAGGCGCTTGGCACAGAGGTATCACCAGGGTCGGAACTTGTGTTGGGTGCTCACCACCGAACTATCCCCAGGGCCTATCAAAGTTTTTGTTGTTTTGGCCATACCTGGTGATGCTCAGGAGTTACTACTGACTCTGTGCTCAGAGATCACTCCTGCCAGTGCTCGTGGACCATATGGGATGGCAAGGGTCAACTCCAGATCAGCTACGTGCAAGGCAAGCACTTTACCTGCTGTACTATCTCTCTGGCCTTCCAATCAACTTTTTTTGGGAAAGGCACATGCACAATTGTGTTCAGGGGGTCACTCCTGGTGATGCGGAGAGGATCATCTGTGGTGCTGGGTATCACGCCAGGGTCAGCTATGTACAAGACTAGTTCTTCAGTCCTGTACTGTCTCTTTGGCCTTCATACATTTTGAGTGACGTTGGTGAATACTAGAAATCTAAAAATGGAGATACTTATTTCTGTGCTAAAGGTTTTCCTGGGTAGGATGGAGATATCCCCCAACTCTCTCAGGTGCAAACAAAATTCATGTAATATTTTATTTTTTTGAGTTTTGGGCCACACTTGGTGGTGCTCAGGGTTTACTACTCCTGGTTCTGCACTCACGAATTACTCCTGGTGGTACTTGGGATGTTGGGGGATGGAATACGGGATGCTGGGGATGATATACGGGATGCTGGGGATGGAATCCCCTGGGTCAGCCATGTGAAAGGCAAGTTTCTTAAATGGCCATCATATAACTTTTTGTTCTTGTTTTGTTTTTGTGCTTGGGGACCTTATGGGATGCCAGGGATCGAACCAGAGTTGGCTGCATGCAAGTCAAGCCCCCTTCTCGCTGTATTATTGCTCCAGTTCCAACTCATTTGAATGTGGGGGTTCTCCCCATGATTCAGGGAATCCTTCCATCTTCTGTGGCTTCTGAATTGGCTGCTGGATTCTCTGTGTCTGGCTAGCAGAGGGTGGAAGGGAGAAAGTCAAGAATGTGCAGGTTTTATGGGTCTTGCTTTGAAGTAGCAACTCTCTGGTCTCATCTCAATCAGAACTTAGTCATGTGGCCACACCTAACTGCAAAGAAGTGTGGGAAATGTAGCTTAGCTGTGCGAAAAGGCACTGGGGCCTGTGGACGTACAGCTATCTGTACAACAGCCACACAAACACAGACCACTATGTATGTCTATAGTGGTCCTGGTAAAACACATGTCAGAGCGGGTTAAAAGTGTGGCTGTGTACAAGGCAAGCACCTACCTGCTATGCTATCTCTAGTCCTCCAGGAGAATGATTTTATTTTTTAAAACTTGTCTGCTTGTAAGTTTTTTTTTTTTTTTGCTTGTTTACTTTACTTTTGGGCCACACCTGGAGAGGCTCATGCTCAGGGGTTACTTCTGGCTCTGTACTCATATGGGATGATGGGGATCAAATCCACGTCAGCTGTGTGTGAGGCAAGTGCCCTCCCCACTGTGCTATTTTTTTTTTCTTTTTGGGTCACACCCAACGATGCACAGGGGTTACTCCTGGCTCATGCATTCAGGAATTACTCCTGGCAGTGCTCAGGGGACCATATGGGATGCTGGGTTTTGAACCCGAACCCGAGTCGGCCGCGTGCAAGGCAAACGCCCTACCCCTGTGCTGTCACTCCAGCCCCGCCACTGTGGTATTGTCAGCCCTGGTGATGGTGATTTTTTTTTTTAAATTCATATCTGCTGTAGGCTCTGGGATCCATGAGTTCAGGGACTTTACCTGGTAAAGTGGGCTCAAAATAGTGCCCGTACACAGTAGGCCTCTTGATAGAGATCTGTGAATAATGAATAATGAATAATGAAGATGGGTTGGGATAGGGGAAGCTCAAGTTCTTGTGGGATCCAGAAAGTCATTCTATCTGGTGTGGGGGGTCAGTGAGGGCTTCCTCACTGGTGACAACATTAGAGTTGGCCATGAAAGATTGCACAGTTTGCCTCATGCAGGTTCAGAGATGGAATCCCATGAAATTTTTGGGGAAAGAAATCATTTCATGGGCTGGAGCGATAGCACAGCGGGTAGGGTGTTTGCCTTGCACGCGGCCGACCCGGGTTCGATTCCAGCATCCCATATGGTCCCCTGAGCACTGCCAGGGGTTATTCCTGAGCGCAGAGCCAGGAGTGACCCCTGTGCATTGCCGGGTGTGACCCAAAAAGCAAAAAAAGAAATCATTTCAGAGAAATTCAGTACAAAGGCTAAGGTGCTTGCATTGTGGCCCACGGTGTTTCAATCTCCAGACAATGCACATCCCCGAGTTGCCTGAGCACGGCTAGTGGTCACTCCTGGGCTGAAAATGGGGGGGTAAGGTCTGATGAGGCTGTAGGTAGGTGGACAGGCACTGGAGGAATTGGCATTGCCAGGCTGAGGGACTCAGAATTTCTCGGGAGAGTGCAGGGAGCCGTGGGAAATGTGGAGGTAAAGGTAAGGTAAAGGCCCTCCCGTTGATCGTCGATTTGCTCGAGCGGGCCCAGTAACGTCTCCATTGGAGACTTTGTTGTTACTGTGTTTGGCATATCAAATACTCTCGGTAGCTTGCCGGGCTCTCCGAGAGGGGCGGAGGAATCGAACTCGGGTTGGCCATGTTGGCCGCTTGTAAGGCGAACGCCCTACCGCTGTGCTATCACTCTAGCCATTTAATTTCAATCAAGGGAGCCTTTCAGGAAGAGGCAAATTTGGATGAATGTGGACCTAGAAAGATGTCAGGAGGATTCATATTGACAAAGCAGAGAGGGAAGGTTTTCAGGATAAGAGTGGTAAGAAGGATAAAGAGTGATGTGAAGGGGATCTGGAGTAATAGTACAAGGGGGAAGGTGTCTGCCTTGCAGGCAGCCAACCCAGGTTCGATCCCTGGCATCCCATATGGTCCCCTGAGCCCAGCCAGGAGTAATTCCTGAGTGCAGAGTCAGGAGTAACCCCTGAGCATTGCTGGGTGTGACCTATAAAGAAAAAAAAAATGCGTGGCTAGAGAGATAGGTAATACAGGGGCTATTCCTGAGTGCAAAGCTGGAAGTAAACCTGAGCATCGCTGGGTGTGGCCCCCAAACCAAAAACAAAAAGGAAAAAAGGGCGACCAGTAAGGGAGGCTGTTAGTGATGGCCATGTGGAGTCTCACCCCTGCATTGATCGAACATTCAGGAATACCTCTTCCATGGAGGGCCAGGCGAAAGGTGGGTGAGCTTGGTCCTGGGGGTAACCAGTAATTCTGGGGAGACTAAGCTGGGGAGGGCCAGGTCAATTTTGGAACCATGTGAGAGAGAATGGAGGCTGGGAGGTCAGGGAGAGACTAGGTAAGTGTCATGGATGTGGGGATGGAGGGGGGCGGGGCGGAGCATTGGGGCCAGAGGCCTAGGGCAGTGGGGTCCCCAGAGTGAGTTGGGTGGAACAGGTAGCATGGCCATAAGGAGCTGTGCAGAGGGCAGAGAGGACGTGGGCAGCGGGGCACTGGGGCCCAGCCGGCCTCCCACTTCTCACTTGGCCCTGGCCCCCTCCACAGTACCAGAGGCACCTCTTTGTCCACATCAGCCAGCACTGCCCCAGCCCTGGTGCACCCCCTCTTGAGAGTGTGGATGTTCGGCAGATCTACGACAAGTTCCCGGAGAAAAAGGGGGGCCTGCGGGAGCTGTACGATCGTGGCCCCCCCCACGCCTTTTTCCTGGTCAAGTTCTGGGTGAGTTCTGCCACCAGAGACAAAAGTGCCCTTGACTCGGCCATCTCCAAGCTCAGTCCTCGGGCACTGAAGGGGCTGGACTCAGGACCTGCTGGTCAGCCTGGACCTCATTCCTCGGGGTGCAGAGCGTGAGTCCCCTTTTGCACTAAAGAGCTTTGTTCCCAGGGTGGGTGGAAGGACTGGGTCCACCCTGGGAACCCCTTTCTGCCCCCTGATCAGTATGACCTTCGGGACCAGCTTTTGGGACAGCTTTGTCCCTAGGTGGGGTCGAAGGACTGGGTTCACCGCGGGATCCCACTCTGCCCTTGGTCAGTTGTTTATGATCAGTATGGCCTTGGGGACTGGCTTCCGAGACAGAGGTTGGGGAGATGGAGTTCTGTCCCTCTGTCTCCCCTGACCTCAACGAAGTTTGTTGTTTCTCCCTTGGCACAGGAGCAGCCCTGGCTAAGTTCTGCATTTCTCCAGTGGGTGATTGCACCCCAAGGGGTGGGGACTGCTGGACCAATGCAGAGAGGGAGCCCTTGGGGGGCACTTTCTGTATGTTTCAGGAGGTCATTTTCCTGGGGGAGGGACGTTGTTTGTTTGCTTTTCCTGAAAAGGGAATGGTAAGCCCCAATAAGTTTGGGAACCTCTACTAGTAGTTATGGGGCCTAGAGGAAGTGATGGAGGGATTGGAGAGTGAGTTTATAAAACCCTCCATTTCACAAACATTTATTGAGTACTTACTATATCCAGGCCCCATGCCAGGCACTATGGTGTCATTGTAAATAAAAGGGACTATCTTGGGGACTTACCATGGCCTCTTAGGTTTGGTGTTCAGGCCAATGATGGATGCCAGAGGGGATCAATAAATATGAATGTTTGCAGGGGGTCAGGTTCACTCTCTGTTAACCCCAACTTTGGGAGTATCTGGTGTCTGCCGAGGAAATGTATGGAGGGCTTGATGGACTGATGGGGCCTGGCCTTGTTAGAAAGTGTTCTGGGTGTGTTGTGAGGAGGCATTCGTCAGTTCTGGGGGTCTGCTGTTGGGTCTTAGGGGTCAGAGAGGGAGGAGGGATTCCAAACAACTTCCCCAGGCCCTAGCTCTGGAGAGACCTTTGGGGGGCTCAGCTTCGGAAGGGGGCTGGTGTGGGACCTCCTGTGCACCTTGGGCCCACCAGGTCTATGACCACGGATGGGTGGGCTGGGGCTCTGAGGACAGCACTGAGACACGGGGAGTGTGAGTACCTGGTCAATGAGCCAATAAAGAGATCTTTCCTCAAGGAGGTGGGCTGGGGCTCAGAGAAAGGTGTGTGGAGGTCTCAGGCAATGGTAGATTGGAGAGGTCTGACCTCTTAGAATCCCAAAAAGGACCCCTGGAGAGATATCAAGGTTCCCAGGGCCCTACAGCCTGTTGTTAGGGGCCGCCATTTGCTCATGGGAGAGTAAATGCTTCCTTAGTAACTGAGGCAAATTTAGTTAATCTGGCCCAGAAGGGACTCTGTGACTTTGAGGTGTTCCCCACCTCCACCACCCCCTCCCCAGAGGTTACCTATGCCCAGGGGTTGCTCCTGGCTGTTACTGGGTAACTGTGTAGTGACAGGACAGAACCCGGGTGAGCACTGTGCAAGGCAAGCTCCTTCCTCCTGTTCTATTGCTCCAGCCCTGTGTGCATGTGTTTTTGTTTGTTGGTTTTTGGGCCCCACCCAACAGTGCTCAGGGCTTACTTCCGGCTCTGCGCTCAGGAATCACTCCTGGTGGGGCTCAGGAGACCATATGGGGTGCTAGAGATGGAACCCAGGTTGATACCTGCAAGGCCAGCACCCTTCACGTGGGACGGCTCCAGCCCTGGTCCCTGTGTGGTTCTGTTTTGGGCTCTTGGAGGTGGTTTGGGAACTCTGCAGAGCTGGGAACTGAACCTGGCATCCCTGATTGCTAAACAGGTGCTCCTGTCCTCTGGGCCATCTCCCTGACCCCCAAAGAGGCCAAACTCTTAAAGTTGGGGAGTCCAAGGAAAGGAGTTTGACTTCCTTGGGTGCATGCCTCTTCCATTGAGGATCAGGGCCTTTTAGGTGACCCTGACCAAATCTGACTCTAGATGGAGGGAACTATTGGCAAGGAGTTTGGGGGTCCTGAAGGGCGACTGCAGAGATCTTCCAGTACTCAGAGAGTGCATGCGGACAGTGTTGGACACACTGTCCGTGGAGGGTTCTTCTCCAGAATCTGGTCCAGGGGGCGCTCCCTGGCGCAGTGCTGGGCTAAGGCAGACACCCTCCTCCCTGAGCTCAGGCCCGGCTGTGTGTAAGGAGTCTGACCTTAACCTCGAACTTGCCTTTGCCTCCCTGCCCGCAGGCGGACCTGAACTGGGGTCCAAGTGGTGAGGAGGTTGGGACCAGTGGGGCCAGTGGTGGAGGCGGCGGCTTCTACGGCGTGAGCAGTCAGTACGAGAGCCTGGAGCGCATGACGCTCACCTGCTCCTCCAAGGTCTGCTCCTTTGGCAAGCAGGTGGTGGAGAAGGTGGAGGTGAGGCCCGAGGGGTGGAGCTGGGCAGGCGAGTACCCAGCCACCTGCGGCTTGGGACCAGGCGTTGTGGCCCCAGACATTTGGTTGTCTGCATGGAGATGGGGGTGGCCTCTTGGGGGTTTAATGCATGGACTTAGGCTAATGCAAAATCCAAAGCCAGCTCATTGCAGGGAGAGGGGCTGGGGGTGCTTTAGGGGCCGCTCTGCTCAGGGATACCCTTACCCAGGTCTTGGGTAACCCTGTGTGGTGCAAGGGATTGAATGGGGTTACCTGTGTGCAAGGCAAGTGCCAAATGGGTGTTCCTCTTGAGAGTTCCAGTATGAATGTGTGGGGGAATATGGAGTCACAAGTCATGGAGGGGACAGTTCAGGGGCCTTTTTTAGGTGTTGCCGAGGTCTTGAGTTCAGAGGTCAGCATTTGGAGGATTTGAGGGTGTCTAAAGACCTTAAGGGCAGAGGAGGTCAGGAGTATGGCTGAATGACTATAGGGGTTCCTGGGTTTGCAGTCACCCTGAATTGGAGACCTGGGATTTCAGATCTCTGTCAGGGTCACTCTTTGGGGGATTAGTGAGGGGTGGGTTGGGATGTTTGCTGGGGTGGACCCTGGAAACTCAAGTCACCATTGTTCCTGCTGCTGTCTCTTGCAGACAGAGCGTGCACAGCTGGAGGATGGGAGGTTCGTGTACCGTTTGCTGCGCTCCCCCATGTGTGAGTACCTGGTGAACTTCCTCCACAAGCTGCGCCAGCTGCCGGAGCGCTACATGATGAACAGCGTCCTGGAGAACTTCACCATCCTCCAGGTGAGGGCCTCGGTGGGCTCCATGCCTACCAGGGCATGACTTTCAATCTGGGGGAAGGTGCTGGAGGTTCTCGGGCATTGCATGATGCTTGGTGGGTGGGTGGTCCCAGCTGTCCCATGCATAAGCCCCTTCTGCTCTCGCTGGCAGGTGGTGACAAACAGGGACACGCAGGAGCTGCTGCTATGCACCGCCTACGTCTTTGAGGTGTCCACCAGTGAGCGTGGGGCCCAGCACCATATTTACCGCCTGGTCAGGGACTGAAGGGAGAACCCCAGGACTGGTTCCCCACACACATCCTCCACTCAGAAGAACCTCCTGCTTCTCACCTACTTCTTGTTTGGGGTGAGGGGCTGGGCCACTTGCCATTAGAGGAGAGAAATGGCTTCAGGGGACCTCACAAGAGTATCTGAAAGGTGACAGCCACTCCAGCTCATCAGGGGACAGGAAGGACGCAGGCCCCTGAGATAAGCACTGGCTCCTCAGACTCCCCCAGAGACCTCCCCCCAGCCCGCCCCTGCCCCCCTGTGACCCATCTTCTGTTCTGAATGTTTGGAGGGTAGGGGCTATTTTTCATCCCCCTCTTGCCCACCCTCCCCCTTGACCTTGACTATTGAACGTTAACCATTTCTGTACAGGAGTAGATCCAGGTGGGCCCTGGGAGGATATTTTTTTTTTAATATAACAGATATTTATAAGTGGGCGATAGGGTCGTGACTTTTTCTCAGCTGGGCAGTGGGGTGAGGCTTTTTCATCTCATCCCTTCTTCAGAGCAAGTCACCGGCTCCACTGTGTTGGCCCCTTTTCTCTCCCAGCCCCCCATCCCAAAGCCTGTTGGTTTGTTTTTTGACAGAAGATAAACTATTTTACCAAAATCGCAGGGGGATTATTTGGGAAAAATAAAAACGGTGGGGGGTGGTAGGGCTACATATGAGGACAGGAAATGAAGTATGGTGGGAGGGACAGACAGGAAACTGCTGGTGGGAAGCCCCAGGTTGAGGGGGAGGTGACAGTAGTAGGGCTGGGGAGGCAGGGGGCTCAGTGGCCGGGGCAATCAGGGGTAAATATTTACAGGTGGTGGAGGGGTGCCCAGGGCACTCACTGGAAGTGTGCCAAGGCCCTAGTGGTACGGAGAGAGCGGGTCGTAGACTTGGTCCAAGTTTCTGCACAGGAATATGGAGAGCGTCATGAAGCTGAGCTATATAGAGAAAAGAGCCTGGGTCAGAGGGCAAGGGGCTTTTCTGGTAGTTCCCCAGGGAAGAACAGTCAGTGGGTAAAGCCAGGAAGAGGCAGGGCCAGAGTGGGCAGGAAACGCCAACCCACATGAAAACTGGGACAGCTTTGGGTACAGTAGGGGCCGTAGTAGCAGGGAGGGCGTTTGCTTTGCTTGCTGCTGACCCAGGATCCAACCCCAGCACCTCATATGGTCCCCAGCGCCCGCCAGGAGTGATCCCTGAACGTGGAGCGCAAGCTGAGCACAGCCGGAAGTGGTCCCCAAACAAAAACCAAAAAAAAAGGTGAACAATGAAGTGGATAGAGTTAAAGGCAAAAGAATCAGAGGTCGTGGTGGGCCACCAAAAAACGATGGCTGGCCTGCGGGGAAGGGGGATACACTGCGTCGGGGGTCCCAGCTACCGCTAGCTTCCATCTTCCATCTCTGCGCCTGCTCTCCTGACCGCAGGCTGGTCCTCATCTTGATTCTAAAGCGACCAGGGTCCCAGGACCATTAGCAGCTTCCCATATGGAGCCTTGTCCCTTCAGCTGGGGCAGGCATCTGGGCTGCTGCTCCGCACACCACCAAGTCCAGAGTTGCCAACAGCGTTCATTCTGGACCCGGGAAGCAAACCGTGGGTGCCCCAACACCTGTGACCTGGGCTCCCCGTGGTAGCAGCCAGCTCAGCCCCGCCCCACTGACCTGCAGGGAAAGGGTAGTTCAATAGCAGGAGCCTCAGGCCAAGAGGGCCAATTGGGGAACTTTGGTGGGGAAGGCGACCACGCCTGCTTCCCGTGAGCAACCAATGAACGCTCTGGAGCCAAGAGCTTCCTGTTCCCAGGTGGGGCAAAAACTCCCGGATTGATGCCCTGTGGTGCACACGCCTTTCCTAGATCTGGGAGGACAACGCAGTTCGGGGTGGGGCTAGTCACGAGGGTGGGAGACATCACCTCGAGGAGACCGATGCCCAGGCAAATCCCCACTATTGAGATGAGGTGGTTGTGCAGCCACTTCTGGAGGCTTCGTGCGCAGCCCTGGGGAGAAGCAAACGGCCTAGTGGGTTCTCCGGGCAACTGTTATTCTGAACCCAGCCCTAATTTGTAACTCACTTCCGGCCTTAAAATACCGGGATTTCCTAGACTGATCGGCTAACAAGTCAGCTACAAGTTCGGCCCTTTCATTCTGGCTGCTGGGCCCCGCCTCCTGCCGCACGACCCAATCCCAGGCCCCGCCCATAGCAAGACCGTGCCATCCATTGTATTACCCCACCCAGACCATGCCCAGTCGCCGTGGCTTCAGTTTCTAGGGGTTCCTGCGTCAAAGCTTCATACCTCTTGATAGATGTGGTCTGCAGAGATGGTGCAAACGTCTGTGCTGTATCGGGTTTGCGCCAGCTGCCCCAAGCCGCTGGGCTGGGCCAAGAGTCTGTCGACAGCTGTGGAGTCGTTGGCCCTGGAGACGTTATAGCAGGAGCAAGGCACGAGGGGTTCCACCGACTGGTTGCGGTTCAGGCTGGAGATCTGGAACCAGTCCTGAGGAGAGTTCCAGCCACAGCAGTGCAGCTAGGAAAGGGATAAGAGTCAGGAATGGGGGTGGGGATAGGGACTGCAGGCATATGCAAAATGATGGGGATCATGACCCTGAGAGATGGGTTATGGTGGGGATTCCAGGGCTGGTGGGTACAGGGTGGGGCTGTGGGCTGGATTAGGGGCAAACAAAGAGGTTGGGGCTGAAAGAGATGAATCCAGGATGACTTGGACCTTGGGGAGAATCACTGCCTCAGGTAGGAGATAGGTAGATGGGCGAGCTGGCAGAGCTCCGAGAATGACCAAGAAATGGATCTCACCGGGACCAGATGCAGCGGGAGCTGAGGTGGGTGGGGCGGGGGCTAGACGGAGGGGTACACACGCCTTGGTGTCTGGGGCCTCATGCACCTGGAATTGCACATAGTCCAAACTCTCTTCAGCCTCCGTGTTTTTGGGGTCCGAGTGGTAATTCTGAACCGTCTTCGTAGCGATTTCATTCACTTTGCGTTCCAGCTGAGAGGGTCAAAGTGAGGTGGGACCCTCTGCCCACCTGCCTCCCACCCTCATAGGTCCCAGCCCTTGCCAACCACTCCCAGACTGCCCCAATCCCCTGTGCCCTGGGCTTGCTCCTGGCTCTGTACTCAAGGATCACTCACGGTGCCCAGGGGACCCTCAGATGTCAGGGATGGAATCCGGGCAGCTGTGTGCAAGGCAAGCACCCTCCCTGCTGTATCATTACTCCAGTCCATCCTGAGCCTTTGTCTCTGCATATTTCCTCTTTTATACATGTTTCTCTTGGGATTTCTGACTCTTGTGCAAGAGTCCCCCTCCATTGTTTTCTCAATTCTCGCTCTCTCCTGCTCTGTGCCTGTACCCATCTCTATATTGGGCTGTTTTCCTTGACTTTCTTTCTTTCTTTCTTGGCCACACCCGGCGATGCTCAGGGGTTACTCCTGGCTTTGCACTCAGGAATTACTCCTGGTGGTGCTTGGGGGACCATATGGGATGCTGGGAATCGAACCCAGTTTGGCTGTGTGCAAGGCAAACACCCTACCCTCTGTACTATCGCTTCAGCCCCCTTCCTTCTTTCTTTCCTTTTTAACTTCTCTTTCTTTCTTTCTTTCTTTCTTTCTTTCTTTCTTTCTTTCTTTCTTTCTTTCTTTCTTTTGTGGCTATACCCAGCGATGCTAAGGACTTACTCTAGGCTCTGTACTTAGGGATAATTCCTGGCAGTGCCATGGATTGAACCTGGGTCAGATGTATGCAAGGCAAATGCCTTCCCCACTACACTCTCACTTTCGCTCCTCTTGGCTTTTAATTGCTTTGTCAATGTCAGCTCCTGTGCTGCCATGTCCTTCTCACACCCAAAACCTAACCAACAGCTGGGGGTAGAATGGGCTAGAAAAGAGAGGGAGGCAGCTTACCAGGACCCGCTGAGTGGAGATGAGGATTCCCAGGGTGATCTGTGTGGCAAAGAGCAGCAGCAGTATCCCAAAATACTGGGGGTGAGGGACAGAGTGGGGTAGTCAGCCTGAGTTCCCTGATGCCAGGGCCCTGCTTGAGAGTCCTGCAGCAGTGAGAGGACACTCACCAGGCCCAGGAGGCAGCGAAATTTCTTGAGGGCCCCCACACAGCCTAGAAGAGCAACGCCCATGGTGATGAGGCCAGAAACAGCAAGAACCTTGGACCAGATCTGCAGGGGCAGGAAAGACAAACCTGGGGGAGATGAGAGGAGGTTACCTGGGGCTCCAGGAGCTCCGGCCATTTCCCCAACTACCTCAGAGGGTCCAGGTCCCTGGGGGTCCGGCACTCCACCCACCTTGCTACCTGCCCTCTCCTCGAGTATCTGTATCCTTTCTCAACTACATTCCCCTTGAGGGGTTTCTGGCCCTTCTTCCTCCTCATTGCCTGTCCCTCGCTTTTATTTTTTGTTTTTAAGTGAAGCAAGATAGTTTTTTTCCTCTTTTTTTTTTTTTTTTGTTTTTTTGGGTCACACCCAGCAACGCACAGGAATTTTGCATTCAGGAATTACTCTTGGCAGTGCTCAGGGGACCATATGGGATGCTGGGAACTGAACCCGGGTTGGCCGCAAGCAAGGCAAATGCCCTACGTGCTGTACTATTGCTCCAGCCCCACAAGATAGTTTTAATTACATGAAACTTAGAAAGGAAATACATATTCAAGAGAGAACATGGACTTCTTCAGAGTGGAAAAAGCCAAGAGTCTTTTTAGGGGGGTTGGGTGTAGTTGGAACACACACAGCAGTCTCAGGCTTACTCTGGTTCTGCACTTAGGGACCATATAGGGTGCAGGAGATTAATCTTGGGTCAGCCTTATGCAAGGTGAGTACCTTACTCTCCTCTACTATCTCTCTGACTGTCCCTCCTTTTATGTGTATATGGGTGTGTGTGTGTATTTTTTTTTTAACAGAAACTCCTAGCTTTCATAGACATTTTGATTGACTTTGCTTCTTTTAGTGCCCTACCTGGCAGTGCCCAAGGGCTAATCTTGGCTCAGTGCTCAGGAGTGGCTCTGCAGAGAAGGGCCTGGGAGCCAGGTGGTATTGAGGATTAAACTTGGGCCTCCTGAGGCTGGGGAGAGAGTACAGTGGGAGAGCTCTTGTCTTGTGCACTGCTAACCTAGGGTTCGATCTCCGACACCCCATAGGGTCTCTGAGCCCCACCAGGAATGGTCCCTGAGTACAGGGCCAGGAGTAAACCCTGGACACCCCCAGGTGTGAGCCAAAAAACAAAACAGAAACACAATTTTGGGCTTCCTAATTGCAAAATCCATGCTCACCTTATTGGGCTGCCTCTGGCCTGTGCCTCTCCTCTCTTTCTATTAGTTTCTCCTTCTCCAGCTCTTCCTTGATCCTGATGGTGTTTGTGTGTATATTGTGTGTGTTTGTGAGATCAGAGTTGGAATTGGCCTTTCCCATGAGAAGCAGGTGCTCCCCCACTGAGCTGTACCCACGGTCCTCACTGCCATAAATTCTTTTTTTCTTTCTTTTTCTCTTTTTTTAGCTTTTGGGCCCACCCAGCGGTGCTTGGGGGTTGCTCCTGACTCTGCACTCAGGAATCTTTCCTGGCAGTGCTCGGGGTTCCATATGGTATGCTAGGGATCAAACCCGGGTCGGCCACATGCAAGGCAAGTTCTCTACTTGCCGTACTATCACTCCAGTCCCTCATCTCCTTAGTTTCTGTCTGCTGGTCACTTGTTCTATAACATTAGATCAGTCACGGGGGTCCTGATTTGGCTACCAGGGAGAAGAGACCTTCTAGTAGGCACTTTTTGGGGGGGAGGGTCCACACACTACAGTGCTCAGAGTTTACTCCTGGTTCTGCACTCAAGGATCACTCCTGGCAGTGCTTGGGGGAATAACATGGGGTGCCAGGAATTGAACCTGGGTCAGCCTCGTGCAAAGCAAGTGCCCTCCCTGCTGTACCTTTTTCTCCTGGTAGCCTCTGGCTCAGTACCTGAATCCTCCCCGAGGCCAAGGAGATCATGATATCTATCGGCAGCCTCCTTGATACACGTGCTGGAGGCCTGGGTTCCACTAGGGTGTATGTGTGTGTGTGTGTAGGTGGTGGGGAAGGGGTTGCTGGTAGTTGACCCCATAGGCCTTTGATCTACAACTGAGCCCCTCCCCCAAGGTTTAGTCCTCAGTGTCGAGAAAAATCCTTATCCTGTACAAGCCAGTAAGACTTGAGCTTAGCCCATAATTCTCATCCTGCTATTATTCTTAGTATTGTAGCTGCTCTATTTCCTGACTGGGTGACGGCCTCTAAGCGACTTCCTCTCTCTGATCCTCAGGGGAGTGGAAGGTGTATGGGAGGATCAGATAAGTGCCTGCTTTAGAACCGACACTGGAAGGGCCCAAGGAAGGACTATTATTTCATTAGAATCTCCAATTCATCTGCCCCGGGAAGATGCAGAGGATCTGGAGCAGTGGGGGGCGCAGGGCGGGTAGAGTCCACTAAGAAGGCAGCAGAAGAGCACAGGAGACCTAACTTGGCTAGGGGAGGACCCTCCACAGGAGAGGAGACCTACCAGGAGGCAATTAAGGGGAGGCCTGGTCTACAACTGCTCCAGGAAGTCCCTCCCAGATGGACCCAGGCGCCTTACCCACAAAGGACACGAAACTGTTCTTATCGATGAGGATCCAGATTCCGAAGCAGAAAATCAAACTCCCTAGGGCCTGGGGAGAGATGAGAAGACGGTGGTAGGCACAGGGTGAAGAGGTGGGGTGGGGTGCGCTGAGGCTGGGTCACCCGAAGGCAACTCACGAAGAAGAAGAGGTTGAAGACGAAGAGGAGGTACTTGACGAGGCTGAGACAGCTGTCCTGGGCCGACATGGTCTCCTAGCCAGGTGAGGGAGCCGTGGCGTAGACCAAGTTGTTGTTGGGGACAAAGAGCAAAACAGGCCGCGGGAGAGGGGGAGTGCGGAAGAGCCCAGAGAAAGAGGAAGTGCTTGGGCCGAAGCCCCACCCCCGGCTCCATGTAAGGTGACTTCCTTCTCTCTATCGCCCACCCCCTCTGCCACACCATACCTGAGGGGCTCTGGAATATGTGCTCACCAGGGACAGGTGGGAAGGTTCCTCCCACTCTTCCATGGCTCCAGGGAAGGAATCCACAGGGACATCTGGCTTACCTGGGTACCAGGACCTGAGGCTGGCCTTGGTCAGCAACCGACCTTACAGATAGATGCTCTGACTTCACGTGTGCTAAGCTCTGCCATATCTGCTGCACCTCTTTCCTCTTCCCCACCCGTGGTATTTGGGCCTTCTCTCTCTGGGTCACTGTTTCTTCCTTCAGCTCTTTATCCCTCCGTCCCTCTCTGGTCTGTGTGTCTTTTTTTTTTTTTTTTTTTTGGCAGTGGTAGGGGTTGTAACACGACCACGACGCAACATCCAGGGCTGACTCCTGCCTTTGTGCTTAGGGATAATCCTGGTGGGGCTCAGGGGACCTTATGTGGTGCCAGGGATTGAACCCCAGTGGGCTGTGTTCAAGGCAAGCTCCCTGCCATCTGTACTATCATTCTGGTCCCTCTGGGTCTCTTGCCTTGTGCTCTGTAAGTCTCTATCCTCCTGTCTCCATTTCTGTCTCCTTGGATTTCTTGCTCCTCCTCTTAATGCCTTTTCTCCGGTCTCTGTTCTCCCTTCTGCTCTGTTGCCTTGTCTTTGCCTGCCTCTGGGAGGCTGCAGCCTTTTTTAGGCCACAGGTGTGGTCACAGTGTTCCCCTTTGGGGCATGCCTGGACACTAGAGGGGAAGTGAAAGTGCTGGGGGCCCCAAGTGGAAAAGGTGCCTGGGAGTAAGGGGGCAGCTGGTGCCATGGTGCTGGCGGAAGCTGAGCTTCAGGCCATGTTTCCTGTCTGCAGCAGGGCCCCAAGAGAAGGCAGATGGGTGTGCCAGGGCTGAGTTCATGAGAACCCTTAATGCCATTCTACAGGTATGGAATCAAGGGTCCATCCTAGTGGGAAGGTTCCTGCCCCCAGCGATCAGTGAGAGTGTAGTTAAAATGGCAAGTGCTGTAGTCACTTGCTTCACTGAGAATAAAGAATCCATTAAAAAAATTATTTTTAACTGAATCACTGTGAGATACACAGTCATATAAGGTTCTAATACCTGTCCCTTCACCAGTGTACGTTTCCTCCTGACCAATGTCCCCAGTTTCCCACTGCCCCACCTCCACCCCTAAACTGCCTCTATGACAAGACACTTTTCTTCTCGTTCACTCTCTCTCTTTTTGCCTTTTAGCCGCTATGGTTTTCAATACTGTTCTTGAATAATGATCCATTTTCACATGGGACTCATTGGTAGGAGGCAGTGCCACCCCCCTCTCCCAATGGAGCACTCTTTTTTTTTTTCTTTTAAGGTCACACTTGGCAATGCACAGGGGCTACTCCTGGCTCATGCACTCAGGAATTACTCTTGGCGGTGCTCAGGGGACCACATGGGGTGCTGGGAATTGAACTCCGGTTGGCCGAGCAAATGCCCTACGCATTGTGCTCTAGCCCCATTATGTAGCACTCTTTATTCTTTAAATGTCCACACTGGTGTATTGGAGTTCCTGCTGGCAAAGCTCCAAAACCAACTGGACTGGTTGAGCTGCAAGAACACTCTCAGGACCCGGACAGGGGGTGATGGAATGCAGTCAGGGGGGCTTACATTTCCTGGTTAGATTAATAATTGGCAATCACCAGTGATTGGGTTTGGAACATGGGGTGTTGACACCTATGGAATCCAGACAAATAACTGAATGGTAGTAATGGAATCCATATAAACTGGTAATAATGATGGAATCTAGATCAATTTTGTTTCTGCTTCTACCAATCTTTCTCCATTTAATCAGTGATCTAACCCTTCGTCTCCCACTTACCACCTACCCTCATCCTGCTTGCATTCCATTTGCCCCTATAAAATCACGTTGATCTTGAATAAAATTGTCTACAGTGCCATCAGCTTATAGTCTGCCTCTCTCGACTATCAGTCAGAGGCTGCATCGGAATATGCTCATTGACCCAGGTCACCAGATATTACAGGACAATGTGGCGTACAAACAGATGACTGGCTTTGGAACAAATAATTCAAGGGAGTGAGGACAAATCTACAATGCTTTCACTGGCTTTCTCGCTGGCCTTGCACACAGCCAACCAGGTTCCATCACTCACACTGGCATCCCAATATTGTTCCCTGAGCGTCCCCAGGAGTAATTCCTGAGTGGCAGAGCCAGGAATAACCTCTGAGCATCACCAGGTGTGGTCCAAAAACAAACAGAAATTTGTGCTCATTTCAAGCATGGCCTGCTTTCCAGGGGAGATGAATTCAAAATTAGATCTCAAAGAATTTGGGGATTTATTTTATTTTTTTGGTGAAGCAAGATAGTTTTTATTAAAACTTAGATGTGAGGGGAAAGAGAGAGGGAGAAATGCATGTTCAAAAGAGAACACAGGCTTCTCCAGAGTGGAAATAAGCACACAGAGAAGCATCGGGACAAGCAAGTGAGATACGTGTTCAAGGGGAAACACAGGCTTGAAGTGTGAGCCTGGGGATTTATTTTAAAACCATGACACAATTCATCAACATACCGTGTTGACTCTCCTTTCTAAATAAGTCTGGCATTTGACCACTTCTCATGACCTCTCTTGCTTTAACTCAGATCCAAGGCATCACTGTCTCTTATCTTGACTCACCACCTCTGTGTTTTCTCTTGCTACTCTTAGCATGAACATCCTGATGTCTGTTGAAGAATCAGAAGAATCCTTTGGTAAAACACCAGTTATTCCCTCAAAATTCTGTAATAACTTTTCTTATTTTTTTTCTTTTTTCTTTCTTTTTGGGTCACACCCAACGATGCTCAGGGATCACTCCTGGCTCTGCACTCAGGAATCATTCCTGGCGGTGCTCAGGGGACCATATGGGATGCTGAGAATCGAACCCGGGTTGACTGTGTACAAGGCAAATGCCCACCCTCTGTGCTATCGCTCCAGCCCCTATAATAACTTTTCATCTCAAACAAACAAACAAACAAAACAAAAAAACCCCCATCCAAATCAAACCATGATACATTTACACAATGGAGTACTATGTAGCTGTTAGAAAAGATGAAGTCATGAAATTTACATACAAGTGGTACTACATGGAAAGTATCATGTTAAGCGAAATGAGTCAGAAAGAGAGGGATAGACATAGAAAGATTGCATTCATCTGGGGAACATAAAGTAACAAAATGGGAGACTAACGCCCAAGAGTGGCTGAGATTAGTACCAGGAATTTTGCTCTATGGCTTGGAGACCAGCCACACATGCTAGGGGAAAGGGGAGCTCAGATAGAGAAGGGAGCACCAAATAAAGGGTGTTGGGAGGATCCTCCCAGGATGGGAGAAGCATGCTGAAAGTGGACTATGGACCGAACATGATTGCCAATCAATGCCTCTTTTGTAGACCACAACACCCAAAAGGAGAGAGAGAACAAAAGGGAATGCCCTGCCACAGAGGCAGGGTGGATGGGGGGGATGGGGGGTGGGAGGGATACTGGGACCCGTGGTGGTGGAGGATGGGCACTGGTGGAGGGAAGGGTACTTGATCATTGTATAACTGAAACCCAAGCACAAAAATTTGTAAGTCTACAACTGTACCTCATGGTGTTTCACTAAAACAAACAAACAAACAAACAAATAACAACACAAAAATCAAACCATGACCTGCAGACTGCTGAGAAGACAAGAAGTTTTTTACCCCCGCCACTTATTTGGTCTCATTTACTATCACACTTTCTTCCCCTCACTGGGAGCCCGCAGTACCAGTCTCTCTGCTGTTTCAAGACCCTCTCAATTATTTCATTTCTCTTGTTTATGGGCCACACCTGGCTATACTTGGGATTATTCCTGATTCTGTGCACAGGGATCATTTCTGGCTGGGCATGGAAAAATATCTGGGGTGCTGGCATCACTCCTGGATTGGCTGTGTGCAAGGCAAGCACCCTACACATTCTACTATCACTCTGACCCACTCAGTTATTTTTGGTTTGGGGCCACATCTGGAGGTTCTGCGGTAGGGGTGATTATCTCAGAGGTTGCTCTTAGGAGGTTATAGGTCTCCTGAAACCCTTTGTGGTCCCAGGGATCCACACTGGGTCAGCCATATGCCAGGCAAATGCCCTCCCCACTATACTTTCTCTCTGGCCCTAAACACCCCAATACCGTTCTTGAATAATGATCCATTTTCACATGGGACTCATTGGCAGGAGGCGGTGCCACCTCTCTCTCCCGATGTAGCACTTTTCATTCTTTAAATGTCCACACTGGCGTATTGGAATTCCTGCTGGCCTAGTACTTGTTACCATATCTAGTCATAGATGTTTATTTATTATTTTCCACTGTGTAAGGCAGGGACAGACTTGGGGGCACACCCAGTAGTGCTCAGGGTTTACTCTAGGCTCAGGGCACCATGGGGTATCTGGGGTATTCTGTCTAGAATGCTCTTCCCCCTGCTGTTCATGGCGCCTCTTTTCAACTCCTTCAAGACTATCCCTTTCTCTGAGGTCTTCTTGGATTAAAGTAACAGTTTGAAGGACAGTGTACAGTGGGTAGGGTGCTTGCCTTGTACATGGGTGACCCAAGTATGACCTCCAGCATCCCATTTGGTTCCCCGAGCACTACCAGGAGTGGATTCCTGAGTGTAGAGCCAGAAATAACCCCAGGCATCACCGGATATGTCCCCCAAGCCCAAACAAACAAACAAGCAAAGCAAATAAGTGAAGTAAAAGTTTTAGGGACACCCTAACTGGTCCCCTCATAACACATTTTTATTTCATTTTTTGGACCAGACCTGAGGCTGCTCTCATCTTGGTGCTCAGGGGTTGCTTCTGCTGATACTTGGAGGGTCATGTGGGTTTGGGAATCAAATCCAAGGCTCCTGATG